AAATAATTACTAAATATGCTGCCAATGAAGTATATCTATTAGCTGTGCCCGACGGGTTATTTATATGTTGTCTTTTCTGAAGACTGGTTATGCTCAAAGTTATAAATTACGAAAAACTTTGAGGAGAATTACGGGAAATCATCACCGCGCCCGCGTTGTGTGTAATTACTGTTAGCATGTACGAGTAGATGACTTGTAATTCGACAGTGTACAGTGAATATAATTATTTCGTATCTCTCTCATTTTTGAAAATCATCAAATTTGAAAATGTAATTTCTAGAATGGATAAAAAAAGTGGATGAGCAACTAATTTCTAACTTTGAATCTCAAGTAAGTGTATTGGAGACAAGAATCCAATGGAATGGAATATTAACTGTGTTAATCATAACAAGTCACATAAAAAGAGTTTGCCCACAGATCATTCTGCTAACTTTCCTGGATGTCCTGTGTACCAAGGTTATGTTGACAATTTGAAGCAGCGCGTGGACTATGGGAAGTAATAAAAATGATGTTTTAAAAATTTGCCATATAAATGTTCGATCACTTACAGCTTCTTTTAATGAGTTTTCTTTGCTGGTAAAAGATCAATTTGATATTATAGCTGTGGCTGAAACTTGGCTTTCAGGCAATATACCAGATAATCTTACCAGTATGACGATTTTAATTTCTTTCGCAAAGATAGAATTGGCAGAGGTGGTGGGGTTGGCATATACGCAAAGGCTAATCTGAGATTCAGTACTGTTAATATCGATTTTTTGGGTAACAGTACTCTGGAATTATTGTGTTGTAAATCTAGAATCAATTCCGTAAGCCTGCTTGTTGCGGTACTTTATAGACCTCCTCACTGTTCTATCAATGATTGTATAAACCACATAGACAATCTTGTTTCTTTCTTTATGCCTCAATATGATGACATTATTCTTCTTGGAGACATGAATATTGATATGTTCGATACCACTAATGTACTCAGCAGTTGTCTTGATTTTTATGGTTTCAGGCAGGTCATCGATGAGCCTACTCGTATTTCTCGTTTTAGTTCTACTTTAATTGATGTCATATTTTTAAATAATATTGAAAGTTTTCTCAACTCTGGTACCTTAAATGCAGATCTGATATCTGACCACAAACTAGTATTCTGTGAATTAAATATTAAAACCGTTTCATCGGAGGAAAAATTCATAACCTATAGGGATTTTAAGAACATTGATGTAATCAAATTCAAGCAGGATTTGGCTGCAGCTGGCTTAGAAGAAATGCTGTATATTACCGATATTAACTCCAAAATTCTAATCCTTTATGGGGTGCTTATTGAGCTTTTTAACTTTCATGCTCCCATTCGGACGGCTCGTTTCACCAAAAAAGCTGCTCCATGGTTAACTTTCGCACTTAAGGTCATTCTTAAGGTGAGAGATGAGGCTTTAATTAAATTTCGTCACAAATCAGATGAAAATTGGACAGCGTATAAACAGTTAAGAAATTATTCAGTTGCTTCAATCCGGCGTGAGAAAAAGGCATATTTATCTCGCTTTGATAATCTCAATTCTAGAAAAGCTTGGGATCAGCTGAGAGCAAAGAATATTTGTCCCCAGAAACACATTGAAATAGATTTTTCCAAAGCTACTTGGCAGAAAGAAAACAATTAGTTAAGACGGTTAAGGGCGTCTCTTCTAGTACTGTGGTTTCGTCTGGCGTTCCGCAGGGGTCAGTTCTGGGACCCCTGCTATATTTAATTTACACTATAGACTTAGATTCATGTGTGGAATTTTATTCTATACAAACGTATGCTGATGACACACAATTATCATTTCACTTCACATATGCTCAGTTAAATGAAGTGTCGTTTAAAACTAATACTGACCTAATCAATATTACGGATTTTTGTAAAAAGCACTGTCTTAGGATCAATCCTGAAAAGAGTTCAAGTATGCTTTTTTCTCCGAAACACATGTATAATAACATAAAGGACGCAATTGTACTCATTATAAATAACGAGCGCATCCCCATGGTAGAACATTCTAAAAACCTGGGTGTTATCTTGGACTCTAACTTGAAGTTTGATAGACACATCGGTTACCTGTCTCGAAAAGCATATGCCAAATTAAAACTTTTATATTCCAACCGTTTCATTTTAAACTTTAAGACTAGGCAAAAATTAGTTGAAAGCTTGATCCTGTCATCTTTGCAACATTCTCTGATTTTATTCTATTCTTATTTGGATTCGTCGAATCGGTATAGGTTACAAAAAATTCAAAACGGCTGCTGCAGGTTTGTGTTTGGACTTCGTAAATATAGTCATGTCTCTTCGAAGATTTAAATTGGTTAAAGATGGAATCACAGTTTGTTTATGCTATGAAGGTGTTTGTACATAAAGTAGTTCGCACAAAAAAACCACCGTACATTTTAGAAAAGAGGTAACATTAATCAGAGAAATCTCAGACACAACCTAAATTTTGCGATGCCAGTCCACTATACAGCCCTTTTCCAGAAAAGCTTCACATTTCATGCTATCAAGTTATACAACTCTACAGATAAAATATGTCGCAGTAAAACAATAGTGCCTTTCAGGAGACTCGTTAAGAAACAGCTGATGGGATATTAATAGTTCAAGTGTGCATTTGTTTCTTTTTCTTATTATTACTATTGTTTGTTTGTGTATCGAGCTTAACTGTGTTACTCTTTCGTACACAGTGAGGTTAATTGTAAGAGTAGCCATTTGGCTAAACTTCGCCTCACTGATGTATGCTGATTAATAAAGACATTTATTATTATTATTATTATTATTATTATCATCAACACGTACAACTTACGTTTTAGACCTCCAGTAATGCCATCTCGGAAGCACATCAGAGTCAAACATCGACAACTAAAGCTTCATGACGTTTAGGCAACGTGTACAACTAAGTGATAAGTTAACATCTTTTAGAAAAACCTTGGTACCTCGGTGTGATGTATTGTAGAATCAATATGTTTAGAGCTATTTCTACATTTCAAACGGTATACATTTATTTGTATTTTATTTTTTTCATGTTCCGCTGTTGTAAAATTATTGATTTATTATAAATAAATGAGTTGCTAATGAGCACGAAACAGCGCTGTCTGCAGTTGGACATGACTACTGAGACGGAGAACAAACATATACATTTCAGCCTGAACCTCTAGTATTTCACAGATGATAGCTCCTTACATATGAACATCAATAATGACAAACAAATATCTGTAAATGGATTGGACAAAAAAATACTGCTAAAGACCAAACTGGACTGGAGTCTGGTGCAATGAAAATAAGACAGCTCTGAAGTTGATATGCTAGTACCTGAGCCATGTATTGATTCTCCCATTCCCAAAGCTGTGCAAATACCTACCAACAACCCCATCCCATTCATAGTGAATAGATGACTGCAGTCAAATGTTACGGGGTGTCAGTAATGGACTGCCAAAGCAGTTACGCCACCCCCCGGCCTCGCTTATCAGAGCGTTCCGCTACTTACCGCACTGTTTACTTTTATTGATACATCATGATTTGATAAGTGTTTATTCGATTACCGGAATGACATGGGGTAACGAACATAGCCGTAGATACAGGGGTCTACCTTAAGCTCACATAAATCACAAAAATGCGGTGAGGTAATAATTATGATGACCATAATTGGAAAAAGTAGAAGATAAATAGATAAGGCTAGCTACAAATCGAATCGAGTAACTTGTAGTATCAGTTCTTACCTGCTGTAATATTTTATTTTATCCTTGCCTCGAAAAGCACAGACTGCGGGCTGTTCATAACAGTTGCGTGAGATTTATCTGTGGGCCAAGATGTTTTGGACCTGTCTCAAATAAGTTTACTTTTTGCGCAGGTTGAAGATGCCCTCTTTAGTGAAGCTTATTATCTTATTTTTATCCAAAAACTAATGCTTACATCTGGACCGTAGAGATAGTGCGCATAACAGAAGCATCAGGCATAGAACCACAATCAACTACTTATAGTACTCCAGCGCGGTTTCACCTATAATGCTGCTAGAATTTATAACAGCATAGATGCTAACTCTGAAGTGATGTTCGTAAACCACAGTGGATTACACTATGCATAGTCATAGCGTAACATTGATGCCCATCATTTGCCATATGCATTCTGTTTCTGTTTTTTAGGTGTACAACAGCTCATAATTTGAACCATGATGTACCTTGCCATTCATGTTATAAATATAAGTTACCGTGTATTTTGTATTTAAGTGTAATAATAGCCCACGTCTAAACTTCGCCACTGATGTTTGATCTGTATGTGCTTGCATTTACTTAATAAAGATGAATTTATCATTAATATACGTACGACGTTCCACTCTCACCCCTAGATACTTCTATAGCTCCACGGTACCCACGAGTATTTAGGCCTTAGGCATTCGTTGTGGTTCAAGTATAAAGAAATGTAGGGCCTCAATTTGTGCGAAACACACCCGTAGGTACTCTCATGCAGTCAGTAATGGACCAGTTTTAGAAACTGCAAATATGTATGAAGTGCTAGCATAACAGAATTTCGTGTGAGTCATTATTTCGTATAGTTTCTTTCATCTACACCAAAAAATTCGGATCTGTATTAGTTTTCAGAAAACACAGTCGAAGAGCCGGTGATAATTTTACCTGTAACTATGCGTAGTGAGAAATGGGTATGTTTTTCTTGATCATCATTGCTGCTTTGTTTTTCTAGAGGCGTCAAAGTGTCAATTCCGATCGATCTTCGACAAACACCAAGTTTACGGACCGACTATGACCGATAAAATGTACTCTTAAGTGCATGGTTTCCAAGGTCGGCGTTGGGGTTCGATTGCGTTCGATCCTTGATCGGTACATCAGAGGAAGGTTTGATTATTGATTTGAAAGGTCAAATATGCTTTCCTTTCACTTTACTTCCACGCCCACCCGCGAGGAAGTATTGTAATCGCGAAAAATTTCGAAAATGAGATATTTTTTTTATACTCCAACCACCACGAAGGCCTAAGGCCTAAGCACCCATTGGGTACCTGGCGAGGGAACACGTGTGCATGAAACATGCACACATTCTGGCTCCGCCTACGAGATCCGCCGGGTGGTACCTCCGCGTTCGACAGTCAGAGACCGTCTACCACCTACGGACAATCCATAGCCAAGAGAAAAATTCCTCCTGGGACGGGACTCGAACCCCCACAGCGCACGGCGACTGATCAGGAGACCGAAGAGTCTACTACTGCGGCCACCGCTGCTGCCTGAAGAGAGATATGTTATTATATATATATGACATGTAACTCATTCAGTCTGTTTGTCGGTCTGTGCGCAAGTCCGCGACCGTCCATAATTTGCAAAGTACTGCTTGGGTTTGGCTGACATGTACACACAAGTTACCACTACGCCAAGGATGAAAAAGGTTTTTGAAAATCAGTCCAGTTGCGACGGAGAAACATGCAAAAGACGAAAGTAAAAAACGCTCAAACTTCGGTTTTTGACGTTTTCACAGGTTTCTAATCATTTTAGGAAAAACATTTAGGTGTAAAACATTGGGAGGTGGGAGAGGGTGTACGGTAATTTTTTGATATTCATACACCCCCAACGCCGATAATTCTAGGCACCTGTTGACATATTTCACACATTTTTTTTTATATTCCAACCACCACGAAGGTCTAAGGCCTAAACACCCATGGGGTACCGTGGGGCTATAGGGGGATCCAGGGGAAAGTGGGAACGCCACCCGGAATCTGGAGTTTGTATGCACCATGCACACATTCTGGCCCCGCCTACGAGATCCGCCGGGTGGTACCTCTGCGTTCGACTATCAGAGACCGTCTACCACCTACGGATAATCACAACATCCATAGCCAAGAGAAAAATTTCTCATGGGACGGGATTCGAACTCGCACAGCGCACGGCGGCTGATCAGGAGACCGAAAAGTCTACTACTGCGGCCACCGCTGCTGCCTCAGATGTTCCCGTGCATTTGCCCTTTAAACTTCAAAATATTTTTAGCAGACGATTCGGGTACCTATCGGTCGCACGAGCCTCGCACCACGGGGTTGTAATTATTGAATCTCTAGTGGAACTGAGAGGCAGGTAGCACATACTAGGTTGGCGCCATATTATTTATAAATGTACGAGCATTATGCTTGTATCTTACATGATTAGTATAGTATTTATGTATATAAGTACGTATCAAGAGACGTTATGACCCTCTATCAAATATTGTTTCAATCAGTTTTACACCGGAGCTCCCAAGAAATGAGGCTACCGTGTACGGACACGCTCATCGCTGCAATTTGAGAAAATAGTAATGATAGTAGTCTTTTTTCGTTTAACTGCTGCGGAAATCCTTAAAATGTAGTGGAAAATCGTCGAATGCAAAATTACGTGAAACTAGAGCATTGGATGAAACCCAGTTTTGTAAAACTGCGTCTGTTGTAAGCAACTCCAATTTCATTAAACGGTTTCGTAAAGTTCAATTATTGTACGAAAGTGTTAAAAATCCTTAAACATATGGAAAGAGGTTACATTGTAATACTTAGTGAAAATGTATATTTACATATTATTTTTTCCTCAATAATTCCGGTCCTTATTAGCTCTCAGATTTTTATCGTACGAGTAAATCCGCAAATTAGGCCGATATTGCTTATTCATCAAAACTACTGTGCTGGAATGGACGGAAGCAGCATGCTTAATTGTCCAATGACAAAGAGATCACATCTACTTTACCGCCAGAACAATCAGCCTCTAGCGGTCACAGTGATGACTAGGCTATCATATGGGAATTGAGATTTCTACGGTTACAACCGAGAGCTGCTATACACTCTCGCAATGGTCGATTCTGGTAATAGATGGCTCTTGCGCTGACTTAATCCCAAAGGTCTACCTTAGGTAGAGGATAGTTGCTGAGCGTTCGTTCGTTGTCCCAGAGATCAAGCTGATGAGTTGTCAAAAAATACGAAACATCTGTCCATTGTTGACTATTTGTGGTCCGGCGGACGAAAGCAGAACGTTCAGTTCGACTTTAAATTTTTTCGACATTTTTTTATTCGATTGACTTTTCCCGTTGGCCTATGAGGTCGCCCTTAAGGACGCCCATGTCCTCAATCGTCCGGGAATACAGGGTGGTAACTGCAATCACCCCACAGTGTCGGGGGAGTAGCACGACCATTTTTCGTAGCGTAACCGACAAATTCCCGTTGACAGGAGTATACGTCATTGTTTGGTCTACCGGGGGACCCTGGGGTGGGTGATTGATAATCGACGTTTGCAGGGGGGCTGAAACGTCGAACATATTTCACCAATCTTGTAAATGGGGAGGATATGCAAAATTTATTATCTATACGATACCTGTGAGCTTTGGGTGTGGAGTATTGAATGATATCTAGTGGCGCTGCATTGACAGTTCTAGTACTAAAACGTTAAATCATAGAGGAAGTATTGTAAAGGGGGCTATTTGGACAAAATGCAAGTGGGACAATGGCTTGCAGCTTTTACAAAAGCAAACTTTCCATATCCTTGGTTACAATAGATATACGCCCTACATTAATAACCTCGTATCTTGTTTGTCTTGCACGTCAAGCCAGGAATGTATTTTTCTGGACGAGACGAAGCTGTTATAGGCATTCTCGGACAGAAAATCCAGATGCCTTGAGTCAGTCTTTCCTGCCTTTTAAATTCTCCACAATACGGAATCCCTACTAAAACCACTCGCCGTTCGCCATGCATCCTACCATGGAAGTGCATGGAAGCATTTTGTCATGTTGGGCAGCGCACGTTAACATGCATACCAAAGGTATTTGTCTCATTCCGTTACCTCCTACAATTTATATACTTTTGTGCATAGCCAGCAGGCAGGGTATCTGGCTTCTCAGTCTGCTTTTCTCGTCACAAGTTGTCATCGTCAAAATAATAATACGTGCTGTTTACGTATTATCTTATTCCTATTCGCTCTAGGTAGCCTCCAAAGCAACCGTGTCCCGTAAGTAATCTATCTGCACAGCTCACATGTCAATCCTGTCTAGAATCAATGTCCCAGTCTATGCTCTATGTATAGCGCTTTTTCACAATTCCTAGCTTTTTCGCCCTTCTAATCGAGGATACATCATTGTTCAGCCAGCAAATGAATTGGTGGGATTCCAGCCACCATCGGCAGCGCTTCGGACGACACTGCTCTATATGGGCAGATCACGGAGAGTACTGCCTGTCGCTGACACTTGAGCACCAGTTGCTTATATTTCTTCCTTTTCAATGCCTTTTCATAGACTCTAGTCCCATACACCCTAGACAGAAACCACCCTAAAACGGCCCACACACGTAACGATTTATCGTACTGCATATTGAACCATATGTAGTATCAAAAATGGTACTGCTTGCCGTACTGCAATTTTCCCTACACACAGTGCATTGCATAGTACTGCAACAGATCATCAAATTGTGTCATGTCACAGTAACTAGAGTGTTGTTCATAGTATCTATTTTTTAACGAAAACATTTGTGGCTATGTCTTCGCGACTTTCAAAAAGAAAAACTGCAGCCTTTATAGTTGCGAGTTTATCGACTGAAGAAGATGATGAGAAACAAACTAAAAAGAGAAAATGGTGTAAACAGTGGTTGTTGGATAGAAAAAAATATTCCCATATGAGGTTATTGAAGGAACTTGAAGAAAAAGAGCCCCTCGGCTTCAACAATTTCTTAAAGATGGATTCTGATACATATACCTCTTTGCTGACTTTAATTCGTGATAAAATAACTAAGAAAGATATGTACAACTATGAGAAAAGCAATATCTGCTGAAGAAAGGTTAGTGGCCACATTAAGATATTTGGCGACAGTATGTTCTTATGAAGATCTGAAATTCAGAACCGGAATTTCACCTCAAGCGTTAGGTGAAATTATACCAGAGACGTGTAAGGCTATATACGATGCACTGAAAATGAGTTATTTCAAGGTAAGTAAAAACTTTTTTTTTGTATTTTACGTCTGTATTCCAAAACTATACAAAATATCAGAAAAATATAAAAAATACATATTTATTAACTTAAACTTTTTAAGCTTCTTAACAACTTAAATTTTAACTGGGCAAGGGAAAAATATCTGTTTAAGAATCTCTTTCAACTTTTAGTAGGTGGTTGAAGCTAAATATATTCTGATAGATTTGTTTTTAGGAGGGTATCAATATTGTTTCTTTCCTATGTAAATTCTTGACCTTGATGAGACAAATCTGATGGTTGATAGCTTTTTTCCGTAGAATAATACGGTTGAGTTTGTAGTGAAGATCCAGTCACTGTAGAATGCGTGGCCGGCGTTGTCGAAGTAAATGCGTTAGGTTGGTTATGGTTGTAGATTTGAGACTGTTGCAAATTCTTTGATGGAAAGTTTATTGTACAGTCAAAGTCAAGTTTTCCTTGTGCTCCGTAAAATATAATATCCGACCATAACTTTTCTGCTATTAGTCGTTGCGAATCATTTAGTTTTTTTAACTGGAATGCAAATTTTTTACCAGTTACAGTCATTTCATCCTCAACGTCTTCGTTAACATACAATACTTTATGAGTAGCATCATAAAGCTTCAACTTTTTTGTTTCCACCAAATTTTTGTCCGTTTGTCTATGAGCCCTTTTTCGTGAACCTAATTTTGGTGTGAATAATGAGGTTGTATATAGTTCCAGAGTGGGAGCTCAATACGCTTTGTGAGACATCTTCCTGATTTTCTGTAGTTTATTCGGTACTGGCAGGTGACATTAAAGCCTCTTCAGTTTCTTCATAGATATTCTGAAATGAAACAAAAAAACAGAAAAATGGAAAATTTTTGATAATCAGGAAGAACTTAAAATAGCAAATCCTGACTAAATGTCATTTTGTTACGAAAATACCCGTAATTGATGAAAAAATATAATCGGCATTATGTTAGTCAGTAAGATAATTAATCTTGCGGTATGCCTGTATAGGCAAACTGTAGTTTTATATACCTCTTGCTATAGATACACAGGTGTTCACCCGGAAAATATATTTTCCTCTTTGTTATTTTTAGGTACCATCGACAGTTGCTGAGTGGAAAGAGATAAGCAATGGATTTCAATATCTTTGGCAATTCAATAACTGTTTTGGCGCAGCCGACGGAAAACATGTACTTATAACAAAACCAGCCAAGAGTGGATCATATTTCTACAACTATAAAGGAACATATAGTGTAGTACTGTTTGCTATAGTAAATGCAAATTATGAATTTGTATATGTTCATACTGGAACAAATGGCCGAGTTTCCGATGTGGGAATATGGTCACAAACAAGCATGTGCATGCGTCTACTCGCCAAAAAGCTAGACATACCAAGCCCCACAGAATTACCGGGAACAAAAGATAAGGTACCTTATGTTTCCTTTGGAGACGAAGCATTTCCATTAATGGAAAATTTAATGAAACCATATTCTCAAAAAACAATTACTCACGAAGAAAAAATATTCAATTATCGTTTATGTCGAGCTCGCAGAGTTGTGGAAAATGGTTTCGGGATATTGGCGTCGAGGTTTCGAATATTTCTACAGCCAATCAATATTAATGTGGACAAACTTGATATTGTAATATTAGCATGTTGTGCTTTACATAATTTTTTGCGGAAGACTAAAAGTAACTATATTACTGTGTCAATCGTGAGGATATTAACAACGGCAGTATAATACCTTGACAATGGAGACAACAAACCGGGAGCACTATGAACAATTTGGAAAACACAAAGGTGACAACCGCTAGTTTTATTGCAAGGAATGTGAGAGAAACATATAAAAACTAATTTAACAATATTGGTAAGGTCTCTTTTCAAGACCGTATGGTAAAATAATAAATAAATACTACAAAAACAACACCTTATTATTGTCCATAATCCTCTCATCGTTACTGTCCATGTCCGTTTCCTGGGCGTTTGATATTCCCTTTCTACCTATTTCACTTTCTGCTGTAAATAGTAATACCAAAGTGAAGGCTCGTAAATTGTTTATTTATACACAAGTATGCCTCGACTAGAGCATTAACTGTTGAGGCCACTGGTGCAAACGAACTCATCACTAAATTTTACTGTATCTGCATGGCTAAGTTCCAAAAAGT